TGCTCCCCGGGCTCGGCGCTGCCGCTCGCCGCCGCCTCCTCCGCCAGCCCCTGCTCGCGCTCGCCCTCCGCCATGGCCCGGGCCGCTCCCGCCGCGCCGAAGCTCGGGGATTTCAAACTTTCGCGGCCGACAATCCTCCCCTGACGTCAGCGCCAGGGAGCATTCTGATTGGTCGCGGGCCCTGAGGAAGCCAATCGGCAAAGGGCAGGGAACGCCGTAGAACGTTGAGACAAGGAGAGGAGTTGTCAGCTGGGAAACGTGTCCTCACCGCCGCCCTCCGTGTGCACACGTATACCCATACACGTACACGTTTATCTATATCTAGATAGAGATATTTAATATGTGTGTGACCAAATATTATTATTATTACTTTATATGTTATGTGAAATGTGTGTATTGCTGTAACATAATATGATTTATGATATTTTATATGAATGAAATGTATGTTGTTTTATTACATATAAAGATAATAACACCTGGTGGTGCGTATATATACACGACCAAATTTTATTATTTTAAAAATGGATATAATTTGGTCATGAGCAACTAATTTATTTGACTTTCACAGCAGGTAATTTCCACGCGGGATTTAGGAAGGCTGACACCATCTCCTGCATACCTAATATCAGTACTGGCCTTCAACCAAAAAAGGGAATGGTGTTTTTTTCCTCCTTTTTCCCTACATTCAGCCCCCAGAGACAACCCAAGCAGAGTGTGAGGCCCCATCCCTGGCAGTGGATTTGGCAGCGAGGGGGGGCCGGGTGCCAAGCGGCCGGACACACCGGATTCAGCGGCGGATTCAGTGGTGGTGCTGAGCAGCTGGACGTGAAGCTGACGACAGCATGGAGTTGCCGTGGCCACTCCACCTGGCTCCATGGGGCCCCCCAAAGCACGGGACCCAGGATGGTCACCCCAATTCGCCCCCTCTTCCCCCCCAGGGACGGCCCTGTCACTCCCTAAGAAAGGTCACATTCTTCCTGGGGAAATAATGGCTGAGGAACATTGCTTTAGTTCAGGTGACATAACTTCAGCCCAAGTTTTTTTGTTTTCTCTTCCCCTGATGGGTGTGTATAAATCACCTGTTTTCCTATCACAGGAGTTTTCAACCGATTTTAACAATCATACCCCTTCCCTCTCAAAGTTCCAGCTCAGGTACCCCTTTATATTTTTTCTCATTTTTGAGCAGGGGGAAGGAACCGAGGCCCCCCACGGTGAGGGAGGGAGTGGGGCTGGGGCTGCACAGCCAGGGTAGTGTGTGAGACAGAGCCACAAGCAGCTTGTTCAGGGGGCCCAGGGAGGGGGGGTGGCTCCTGCCGTTGCACACACCCCTCACAACATACTTACCAGCTGGACTCGGATGCTGTCCTGGATGCATGATGTGCTGCAGCTGTGCACGCACGTGCGACATTTATCAGCACCATTAGGTCTGAGTACCCCCTAGAACCTTTTTAACTACCCCTAGGGGTATATGTACCCCCAGCTGACAACCACTGTCCTATCGTATAGAACTTATTTTCAATATTTATTCAAATATTGCAATGCACAACACTCAGATTTCAATATTTAGGTCGCTGGATGCATGCCTGTCTACGAAGGGATTAAGCAATTTGCTTGAAAAGTTCTGTTTCTTATTAACATGCTGCCATTCCAATTACAGAACAGCCCTTGCATTTTTTATATATCTAACTGAGTAGTAGTCATCCCTTGAGAGTGGTTCCAGAAAGCAGCTAAAGATAGCAAAGTACTCAACCAGGAGATTTTAAAATTAATTTAATCTGTCATAAGTGACTTGTCACAGCCAACTCAACTAGTCAGATCAGTTCATATAGGACAAACGCAGGACAGCTAACCAGAATGGGAAATATTCCTTTTTTAATACAAGTAGATTGGAATTCAATAACTCATGCTAATAGGGGAGTCAATCCAGCACAGCTGTAGAAGTGTTAAGAAGACACTCATCTTTACTGTATTAAATGCAAAAAAAGGTGCTACCTGCACTTCTAGGTCTAATTGGTGACCCTACTGCATTCACCAACATGTTAAGCACGTGAGTTTTTCCTTGCGGGTCTCATGCTAGCAAAATGTGCTACTTGCTGGCATATGCAGCACTGAATGCCACAAAAATAATGAGAAAAGGGGGGATTTGTGTCAGTGGAAGAAAAAGAACACTGGCTGCACAAAAAACTCCTTCCCTAGCACAATTTCTGGATACAGTTTTTGCTCAGAGAACAATTTGGAAATGGCTACAGCCACAATTGCAAGATTCTTTTCCAAACCAGCACGCATGCTGCTTCTGTGACCGGAGTCCCAGAAGAGCTCCTTCTATAAATGAAGACATCTCAAATGAATAATAAGCAAACTAAAAATAATGGGTCAAAACAAACTTCTGGAGCAACAACCTAATAGCTGTATGAGTCTGAAGATCTGATAGGACATTTGGTTTTATACCAATGCAAGTGTGGACATGCTACCAGATCAGAACGTAACACTGGAGATTTTCTTGCACTGAAAAGACCAAATCAAGCAACAGAGAAATAGAAAAGGTGGCCCTGGTTATCCAACTGCCTCCTACTATTGTGTCTTCAGTTTTGTCTGTTTGCTTTGCTGTTTGGGTTTTTGTCTTGTTTTTCCTTCCCAAACATATTGCTTTATTTATATTAAGACCTGGGCCTGTGAAGACTTACACATATGAAAGCAGAGTTAAGCATATATATGGTCTTACTGAGTTCAGTAATAGAGCAAAGCTGCAATTAAATTGCCGGCTTGGCTGCACTATCTATTTAAATTAAATGTCTTAAATAACATTGTAATGACATAAATATTAATTAGCACATTCTGCTAGGATGTCATGCATTAGGTCCTAACCCTGGAAAAACGTAAGCATGTGAAGAATATTAAACGTGAGTTCTTGATGTCAAAGGGGCCCTGCAGACACATAATGCTACTTGTTTATAACCTTAGAATCTAACAATACATGGATTGTTTTTAAATAAAGACATTGCAGTAGGACAAACTGGACACCCAAATACTTTTAACAATAAATACATTATTTTTGTGGGTAGCTTTTCCAAATATTTACTCGGTATAACAATTTAAAATAAAAATATCAGGATGACAAACCATCTGTTTGTCGTTGAAAAGAATGGCTATTTTGACATGGATTCACAAAGCCATTGCTCAGCTTGGTTGCATTAATTGAAATGTCCACGAGGGGGCTGTCTGATGTTTCTGACCGCAATGCAAAATATCCAGTATTTCTGTACTGTTGTTTATTTTCAAAATGTCTGTTAATTATGCAGCAGGAGCACAACCCTTATACATTGAGAACAGCCTGATACTTCTCTACATTGTGCCACATTTATACTGGTGCAGGTCAGCGAAAATCAACACGGCTGCCCAGGCAAAAAATAGGGGAAGATTGATGCCCCAAGGAGCAATGGACTCAAGTTGCAGCAAGGGAAATTTAAGTTGGATATTAAGAAGAACGTTCTCACTAGGAGGGTGGTGAAGCCCTGGAACGGGATAGCTAGAGACGTGGTGGAATTTCCATCTCTGGAGCTCTTTAAAGCCCAGCTGGACAAAACCCTGGCTATAATAATCTAGTTGGGGATGGTCTTGTTTTGAGCAAGAGGCTGGACTAAAGGACCTCCTGAGGCCCCTTCCAACCCTTGTTTTTAATGATTCTATGATAGTTTGGACCCTGTATCTTTTCTGTAGTGTGATGTATATGCTATAACCCACTAGGCCATCCATAGCCACCAAGCCCTTACTCAGATTATTTTGCTTTTTGCATATTTGCCAATAAAATAAAAATTAAAGAAATGTGTTAACCTCGCCCCCAGGAAGTAAAAAACAGAGAGCTCAGGAGTAACATCCTGGCTCCATTGAGATTAATGGTAAAATTCTTAGCAACTTCAGTGGAGCTAGGCTTTCAGTCTAAACTGCAAGTACATGTTCCTTAACACAGCTGCTTGCACTTGCATTATCAAATTAACAGAAAAAGCAAGTAACATTGCTTACCCCACCTGATGGCAGCATTTCCACATAGGGATTCCTACCCCAAATCTTTCCTTTGAAATAGACACCCATTTGCATTCCTAGTAGGAAACATATTTATACCAAAACGCACATTAAATATGCCATACTAACCGCACTGCCCTCTTTTAGTTTTAGAATTAGACAAATTATTTTTCCTACTCAAGAAGATGTTGTACAGTAATTGAATTAGACATTCATCTCAAAATGAAATTCTTATTTGGCTAATCACATAGCACTGAAAAGTGGAGGCACTTGGGAACATCTTGCAGGGCGGAGAAGAGCTTTACACTCTTAGAACTGCTTAGAGGCTCAGTGCTTTGATTATGGAAACACGCCACATGCTGGCAATATTCCCCAATCTCTGTTCCTCCATGGATCAAGGCATGGAAGCTCAAACAAGCTTAGCAAA